TAAAAATACAAACATTACCCGGTGTGGTGGCGTACACCTGTAATCCCAGCTACTCAGGAGGCTGAGGCAGGAGAATCGCTTGAACCTGGGAGGCAGAGGTTACAGTGAGCCGAGATTGCGCCAGTGCACTCCAACCTGGACAATAGAGAGTCCATCTCAAAAAAATAAATAAATATAAAAGAAAAGTAAATCTCGTTTATAGAGCTTTCCATTTAATGTTTTTGGACTGAAACTGTGGAAAGCAAAACCATAGATAAGGGACGACTACTATAATTATGATAAAAATCAGGAACTTCATCTAGCCATGAGGACATTTGTGTTTCTGATTATTTAAATTTTTATTCTTGACTAAAATGATGAACTATATTTATATTTATATCTTTAAATATAAATGAACTATAGTTACATCTTTATAAATATAAATGAGCTATATATTTATATTTTTATATAAATGTAAATATTTTTACATCTATGTAAACATAAAAATGCTTTTTTTCCTCTCTGGGTGTTTACTGGGGTTATTTAATAAAAACCTAGGGCTGATATTGGGAATTTTTGTTGGGATTTTAAATTTTAACATGTTTGTTTTGTTTTTTGTTTTGTTTTGTCGTTTGCTTTCTGAGCTGGGAGCTGATTGTGCTTGTGGCAACTGCTTTATCTAAAGGGTCTTGCTTTGCTTCAGAAGAAATTTTGTTACCTTGATTGCTGATGTTCTCCCCCTTAAATAAACCTCAGCTCCGCCTCCCGGCTTCATGCCATTCTCCTGCCTCAGCCTCCTGAGTAGCTGGGACTACAGGCGCCGACCACCACGTCTGGCTAATTTTTTGTATCTTTATAGAGACGGGGTTTCACTGTGTTAGCCAGGATGGTCTCTATCTCCTGACCTTGTGATCCGCCCGCCTCGGCCTCCCAAAGTGCTGGGATTACAGGCGTAAGCCACTGTGCCTGGCTTACTGCTTCCATTTTAATAGTTAGTACAGTAGGAAAACTACGCATGGGCTTTATGTGTTTTGTTTTGTTTTGTTTTGTTTTGTTTT